TATTGGTTGTTTTAAGTGAAATATATTCTTAAGAATTTTATGACTAGCATGCATTACACCCATTTTTCTCAGGCTTTCAAAAGGTGCTTTATTGTCACATTTGTCAACACATTTGTATTAAACAGGAAACACCCAGACAGCAAACTACACTGTTGTTCAGGAGAAGACAGTCCATGCAGGAAATTCAGTGACTCTTCACTGTTCACTATTTTCTGATGCTGAAAATAAGACATGTCCAGGAGGTCACCACGTGTTCTGGTTCAGAGAAGCATCTCATCCTGATATCATTTACACTGAAGGAAACAGACATCATGAATGTGAGAAAAGATCTGAGGCTCAGCGGAGCTGTGTTTTTCGCTCTTCTAAAAATGTCAGCTCCTCTAACGCTGCGACTTACTATTGTGCTGTGGCCACATGTGGGCTGATATTATTTGGAAATGGAACTAAACAAGAAATGGGTATGACTATGAAATATATCATATCAGATAAATATTCATCTCTTTTAGAATCACTCCTAAGATGTTTTCTTTTTTTTGCAGTGCAAACAGCAGGTTCTGCATTTATTGCACTGGTGATAGCAATAATCTGCTTGGTTATTTCTCTAATTCTTAATGTTATTTTCATCTGTTGCCGAACTCCAGGAGCAGCATGTGAACAAATTAAAAGTAAGTTGTTTAAAATAAATGAAAAATCATAATAATATCGCTCTTCTTAACATTAAAAGGAACTTTCAAAGAAATAGGATTAGTAAAAGTAAATTTACATATCTTTCTATACATTTTATTATTAATATTGCTGACATCTTGCACATCTCATTATGTAGGACTCTATCAAGGTCAATAAGTTATTATTGAATTAGCCAGGTTAGAAACCCAATTTTAAAAAATAAAAATCAAGTAGATAATATTCCTCTTTCATCACCGTTATGCACAGAAAACAGCTCGTCACAAGCAAGGCGAGATGACTTGAGCCAAGCTGTGGATGACAGTGTAAGTAATAATATGGCATCATATTTTTAGTGATTTCTAACAACTTGATGTAATTATAAGAATTTTATTATTTCGCATAGATTGAAGGTGAACTGAACTATGCTGCACTGCAATTCTCTGGAAGGAAAACGACAAGAGGAAAGAAGAAGAAGGATGAACTGGAAACTGAAGAAAGTGTGTACTCTCAAGTAAAATGCAGGATGTGAAAGTGTGTCGGTTGGGTTATAGTACTGATCTTTTATATTGAAAATAAACAAATACAAAGAATTTGTTAGTAATTTTACTAAAAACATGATGCTTTACATTCATTGTACCTATTGTGTTTTCCTGTTCTTGCTTTCCAGGTTATTTATTTATAATATGATGAATCAAATTAAATGAATAGTAATACATTGTATTACATACATAGTATACATGAGAGGTGGGTCGAGTATCCAAAAATTATACTCAAGTAAGAGTAGCATTACTTTAAAATATTATTACTCAAGTAAAAGTGAAGAGTAGTCGTCAAAAAAGTTACTCAAGTAAGAGTAAAAAAGTACTTGGCAAAAAGACTACTCAAGTAGTGAGTAACTGTTTGAAATGTCCAATTTATTTTTTAAATAAATGCTATCAGACAAACAAAAATAAATAAATATATACATTTTAGTATTTTCAACAGATTATCAACAAAATAAGGCACAATTCTAATTTCCAGATTTCAGTTTTTCACAACATAGAGCTTTTCTCACTAATACCTACAGTAAATAATATAAATATATAAACAGTGCAAACAATTTCCAGTGACACGATATGCTGTAAACTTGATATTCATTTTTGCTCCAAATGGAACCGCACCCTCAGAGAAAACATTAGAGCGAGGCATCTTCAACATATGTTCATACAAGGCAGCTCGGTTACCATAAATTGTATGGGTGTGCATTTATTTCTGCATATTTAGCAAAAATGTGCCATTTCTTCACTCAGTGAGGTGATGGTTAAGCTTCAGCAGCAGTTTGCTCTCAAGGTTCTTTCTGTGAAGCTTTAACTGTTTAGGAGTGAACAGGAGTCCTGCATGACTTTCAGCTGGAGCTTTCCTTCACAAGCGCCAGATGCAGGAAGAGCTGTACTGATTTTGATCGACAGCTTCTTGATGTGAGGAATGCCATGCAACAGATCCACACCTCCAGTGAATGGACATGAAAGGTACCTCTCCAGCCCTACTTCTGGCTTTCCTGACCCCATGGATCCATCATCTTCGTCGAATAGGCCGCTGTTTGTGCTGGCCTCATCCAGCTGTGCGTCAGTGATGTCTGATGAAATTGAGACCTATGGAAAGATGTATGGTTTTCAAAAGAATTAGGTCTGGTCATTATAGTGCTGTATACACTGCCAAGCTGCAAATGTTTGTTTGGAGCTAGCCTCCAAAAGCTGGGCATACACTGTGTGCTTTTTGGCCCATTTTGAGACGATTTTTCAGTCGCGCAACCATTTTGGGGATTGGCCCGAGTTTTGCCTACAATGCAAAATGTTGTTCGCTGGATTCACATCTGCAAAGAAGACTATTATAAAGCAATGGTTCAGTCCTGACATTTGTATGGAATCATTCTTGATACGATGTCTTATCCGTGTTATTAATTTTGAACATACCACAGCAAAATTAAATAAAGCTCGACCCACGACTGTTGAAGCTTGGAAAATCTTCCACTGAAAATCTTTTCAGTGTGGTCTCACAAAATTATCACGACTACAACAACCATGAAAAGAGTTGGATGGACATTGCTGCTCAATCACAGCTGCCTGGACAATGTTTTTCATCAGTAATTTAGCAAAGTTGATGGTGGTGTGTGTGTCGGTGTGAGTGAAAGACAGAGAGGGAGAGCGAGAGAGATTTTGTATGATAAGCTTCATGTTATGGACGCACGGTTTGAGCACTCAGGTCGCATCAGAGCATCAGGCCGTATAGTGTGAGACCTGCATCGTGACCTATGAACTTCTAACCCCTGAGATGTAATTGTACAGTTTGAGCAGGAGCTGAATAATGTGACTGAAAAAAATCGCAGTGTTTTCCCAGCTTAATGCAGACTGTTTAAACTAAACAAGCTGCTGTTTCACATATTAAACCCTGTCAGCCGCAGTATTGCCTTCTGTTTTAACAGTTAAAGCAGTAGAGACGAGCTGTTTACATGTGCGTGGAACTCTAGCTTGTTTAACCAGGCTAGCTGTTAGCTTATAGCTCACGCTAGCTAACCAGCGAGCAGTTAAAAGGTCAGCCGAAGCTGCACAAAACACCCACAAACTTATCTCACTACAACGTAGCACCGAAAATATGACTTGCAGCTCGAGCTCGACACAGCGTCTGTAACGTAAGACTGACATCCAGCTAACCACAGCTAAAAATATATTTAGAGACCGTTTCCTCAGGTTACACGAGTTGAGTTGTTTCACGCTGAAAAGTTGGTTGGTTTTGGCTCTCACTGAAGACACCGACGCTGAAGACATAGCTGTTCTTTTGTACTGCTTTTAAGAGAAACATTCTTAGTATATGAGTCCGAGGGTGTTCATCCTCTTCAGCTCTAGCGTAGACTCTGCCATGTTTTCATGTGTTTCTTCTTTCTGTGTGTCCGCTACTTTGAAACGCTTGGGCCGCTCTGCCCGCCACAATTTCAAACTGGTCATACATCTGATTGGTAAAAAATGTACCAGAAACTCCACTGGCGGCATGTTATCTAATGTGTTAAACTAATCATTTTTTTAAAAAGTAACAAATCAAATTTTGCAAATGTAGCGGAGTAAAAGTACCGTTTCTTCTTCACAAATCTTCACAATGCATGACCGTCATATTGGCCACCAGCTGGGCCAGCTCCTCCCTTTTCTGGCTCTCTCATGGGCCTGCCGTCTGCCTCATGGATTTCAGCACCAATGTGGCGTAACTGAGACACGGCGGGACCACAGATTCGGTGTTAGAGCCATTTTATTTATTCTGGCTCCAGCTCTCGGCTGTCAGCCGCACCACATCACACCACAAAACTAACTCACAACAACCCCAATTCCCCTTATGTAGGTCGGCAGGGGCAATTGCGGACCACCACACCTAAAGGGGGGGCCTACCAAGTGTGGGTGTTATGGAGAACAGTTTAAGAGTTTGATCTTTATTGCCTCACTAAAATGTGTTTGTCCTATTGTGGCCACTCTAGCTTAGATTATGCACTTGAATTCATAGGAGTAAGAAAACAACATTCAATTCACTGCAGTCTATTGACATCTAGCGGTGAGATATTACACACTCTGCTTAAATGGCATTTCTCTTTTCTTTGTATTTAGAAATCTTAAAACAAAATTTCAATCTTTCATTTCACTGTGACTCAGATTTTAAAACAATGCATCAAATTTTTCAACAAGTCAGATAAAGAAGGCCTGTCTTGACCATTAAATATATACCCATTATCCCTGATTGGGATTTTAGGTTTTGCCAAGCTAGCGGATGCAAAGAAAGAATGCCTATTTCTAATTAGAAAGCAAATCATGTCTAAAATTTTGTAGTTCGCCATCATTCTGGATTTACCTCTGGCTCCACTACGGAGTTGACATGTGTGATTTCTATTAACATATGTCATTAATGCTGATTAAATTTGCTACATAAAAATATCCATATTAATTCATTCTGATCTTCTTTGGGTACGGGGCATTGGTTCAAGATGCTTTTGAGCTCTACAGGAGACAAAATGTAGAGTTCTGACTCTGAAATGCAAATTATGATGAATTAGTAACATAAGACCCAATATAATATCTTTTTTATTGACATAAATTGAGTGAAAAGTAAAAATTGAACAATCAATTGCAATAGAAGATGAAAGAGAGGTAATACATTTTACAAAGCACCGGAGGAGTTAAATGTGACAGGAAGTGTACATCTGAATGTATTCTGGCTTAACCAATCAGATACAATTTTCCATCTGACCTGAAACAATCATCTCACCTCCTTCACTCAGTGAAATACCAGTAAGGTCCACGACAAGAAGCAGTGTCAGGATGATCGTCTTCTGGGTTACATTGTTTTGTCTTCATGAAGGATGTAAGTGGTTTTTTTTTTATATTTTATCTAAAAATGTATCTGTTAACAATTTACACACCAATAGATTTGCGATTGACAGTTACCATGTAAAAACAATGTTTTACTTTTCCATCTCTTTTCCTTAATTCAGATTCTCTGGTTCCAGTTAAAACTGTTCAGCTTGGTGAACCAGCAACCTTAACATGTGCTATTCCCAAAGAGCTCAGCATTAGAGGAGTCAACTGGTACAAGCAGAGTGTTGGGGATACTCTTAAATTAATAGTTACACTGTATAAATCTACAGCTGATTTTGGTCCTGGATTTTCGAGCTTAAGATTCGGAGTATACGATGGTAAGAATTTTACCAGCTTGACAATTTTAAAGACAGTTCAAGAGGATGAGGGACTCTATCACTGTGCAAACACAGAATGGATTGGAACTACATGGAGTGGGATGTATTTGTTAGTAAAAGGTAATAAGCCAACCTACCTTTACAAACTTTGAAAATTTGTCCAAGCATGTTTTGAAGAATGTCTTTGTAATTGCACAGGAAACACTCAGAGGACATCAAACTATGCAGTCAGTCAGTTGCTGATAGAATCAAATCCAGTCCGTCCAGGAGACACAATGACGCTCCAGTGTTCAGTCTTCTCTGACTCTGACAACAAGACATGTCCAGGAGGTCTCAATATTATCTGGGTCAGAGAGGGATCAAATAAATCTCAACCAAACATCATCTACACTGACAGAAACAGAAGTAATGAATGTGAGAAAAGGTCTGACCATCAGAAGACATGTGTTTATCGCTTCTCTAAGAACGTCAGCTCCTCTGATGCTGGGACTTACTACTGTGCTGTGGCCACATGTGGGGAGATATTATTTGGAAATGGAGCTAAACTAGATATCCAAGGTAGCTCTATCAATCAATCATAATTAACTATTACCAATTTTTAGTGAACGTTCACAGCAATGTCATTATTGGGTGACATTGCTGTTGAGTAGTGGAAGTTATATGCCAAATATGTTGATAATGTAATGTGTAAATATTTGTTAATGTTTTGTTAATTTTTGACACTTAGATGTGTTTATTGTATATATTTTAAATTTTTCATGATTAGTCTATTCTTTGTATGTTTTGTTTATATTCTCTGTTAATAGTTAGTGTTTATTTGTTCCCTTTGTGTTCCCACTGTGTAGTTATAGCTAAATGTTATTTACTGTCTTGCTACGTTCACCTCTTCCTTGTTTTCCATTTCTGTGTCTCATTCCCCTGATTAGTGTTCGGTGCGTCTGTGAGTATAAATAGTGATGTCTTCTCTTGTCCTTTGTCAAACTGTCTGTTGGAGTTCTGTTTGCCTTTTGTATGTGGACTTTTAATTTTTTTTTTTTTTACATATTTTTCTGTCACCCAAAAATAAAGGCAGGCTTTTGTTTGTAATGTAATAATGTGACAGATTGTGAACAACAGGAGCAAGGCTGAAAATTATTTTTCTGTTTGTTTTTTGTAGTGTTACCCACACAGTCAGCATTTATTCAGCTGACAATATTAATAGTATTTTTGGCAATTTCTGTCATTGGAAACGTGTTCCTCATCTGCAACCGAAGAGTATGTAAAAAACTTCAAAGTAAGTGTTACGAGAAACTGAAAATATTTAAAAGATGAAACTTGTGCAAATTATATTGAAATGATGAAAAGACTGATACATCTTATATATATATTATATATTATAATTATAATGTAAAATATAATGTAAAAGGCCCTAGCAGTGCTTAAGTTCTGCAAATAACTTATTTCTTTAAGTGAGATTTTTATCAATGACAAAACGTTCTCAGGGACATGCAATAGTAAGTTAATTTCACTAATATATATATTTTTATTATTTTGTTTATCCTAAGGAAAAGAAAGTGCTATAGCATATGCACAAACTGACACCTCATGCCAACCAGTAAGTGATGAAAATTAGTGTTATTCACTTCAAATATGTCAGAAAATGTTAAATGCCACTTCATAGATAACATGTTTTATGTTACCACACAGACTGTCGTGGATGAAGAACTAAACTACGCTGCACTGAATTTCTCTGAAAGAAAAACAAGAGGAAGAAGGAAGAGAGATTGTGCTGAAGACAGTGTCTACTCTCATGTTAAATGCTGATGTTAATAACGATGTTTAGCATCTCCTGAAATTAAAATTGATCCTGTCATCTTGTTTTTGTTTGGTTTTTTTTATTAATATTTAAAGGTTGACAGTTAATTTTCAATCTTGCTGAAAATACTTGGACTGCCAAAACCTTAAACTTAGTTGTGTTGCATTTCTGGCATTCTTGAGTTTTAATTGTATGAACTGTTTTGTAGTCATGCTTTCTGGAATAAATAAATATACATTTGCCTCAAAAGTGTCTTTTATGTTTAAAGCAAGACAATGCAGGCAAAAAAGAACCCTGAAAGAACAAAAACGATCATTTCAGTACTCAGTATACTAAGTGGACAGGTTTAGCAGATACATGGAGTCATGAACATCCACTGCAGTGATGAAATGGAACCATTGGTTTGTAGGGTAAAGCCTCCAGTTCAGTTTTTATCTGTCTTCTTTACTTGTTTTTTTGGCTTCTTTGTTTGATTTTTTTAACTGAGTGTAACAGATGATGGTTAAATCTGACTGAGAAGACACTGCATGCATGTAGCAACCACAACCTAAATAATTTACAAAATGAACATCAAACTGTCTTAAAAGTAGTGATCACGACCACAAATCAAGGGCATAGTAATTACATTCCTGGACAAAGAAGACATGTGTACCATGGAAATTCCTGATCAAATTACTGTAATTCTTCAACCATTTGAGTAGAGCAATGCTTAACTGGTTCCGGTAAGTATGTTTAGCTCATTAATTTGGATATTAATTTGTACAAGTTGTTATTATGCGCTATATTTATGTTTACAAGGTACATGGCCTCTAATGTACATATAATTAAGCACATATGGAGACTAAACTTTTAGATGGGGCTGAGTGTGGAACACCTATTAAATTAAAAAGTGAAAATGTAAGGTGTGTTTAAAGCATAAAAATTGTATCAAAAAAGTCCTGCAAATGTTCTCTAAAATGCAGAGTGTGACTATAGTGTTAGCTTTCTGCTTGCTTAAGGTTTAAGGGCAAAAATAACAATCACTTAGAGACGGATAAAATTGTAGTTCATAATTTGGACAATTGCAAGAGAGCCCAGGAAGAAGAATTTCGAATCTGTCATCCCCCCATCCATCTTCTGCTCCTTATCTTATATAACCCAATCTTCTCCCCAACCGCCTCATCTTGGAAGAGACTGGTCAAGGGGAGAGGCACAGGTGTGCCCTGATGCCTCCTCCTAGTCGAACATTCCTGAAATACCTCTCCCAGGAAGCATCCTGATCAAATGCCTGAACCACCTCAACTGGCTCCTCATGGCTCTACCCTTTAGAGGAAGCTCATTTCAGGTGCTTGTATCCACAACCTTAAGCATCTATTCTGTGTTAGCCAATCACATGCATTTTACTGTCTTAGGTAATACAATTATTTCACCTCTTTTAATCACTAAAATACAAGCGAGATCACCAACAACAAGCAGTCTTAAGGATTTTCTTCATCAAGGATGTAAGTGCTCTTTAAATATGTTGTCAAAAAATTGGTGTACGCAGAAAACATGTCATGTGAAGAATAATATAAAATAATTTTGCATTAGACTGTTTCCATATCATATGCATTTGATTCTATGGCCTTTCTTACCTGAAATTTGGTCCCGATTTGCAGAGGCAAATTGTGCGGCAAGAAAGAGAAGTGGACCCAAGAGCAGACACTGGTTACTGTGAGTGAGTTTATTTACAGGTGTGGGGATACAAACAGAAGAGGGGATGGCATGAACAAAAACTAAGGAAAACCTAAACTGGGAAAACTAAGAAACAAGAAACCAAACCTGAAACGCGAGGAGACTGAGGGCAGAGGTAACACAGGGCACAACAAACAGCTTCGTAAAACATGTGCTATTTGTCTTATCTCCTTCACGTCACCCCTAACTGGTCAAGGCAGATGGCTGCTCCTCTTTGAGCCTAGATTTGCAGGAGGTTTCTTTCTATTAAAAGGAAGTTTTTCCTTCCCACTGTCGCAGAAGGGTTTACTCAAAGGGGGTCTTATTATAGTTGGAGTTTCTCTGTATGAAGTGCCTTTAGGCAACTGTTGTTGTGATTTGGCGCTATATAAATAAAATTGAATTGAATAAGATTGTGTTTGCCTGTTATTGTGTTCCTGTTTGTGTGATGTTGTAGATTATGCAATTAACAGCATCACTCATAATATCATTATGATCTCACAGTTTACCTAATAAAGAGTTCAGCAGTAGGGGAGTGGTACAGGAAGCAGTGATGAGATGATCCTGCAGTGACCCTGTGTTAGTAGTTTTTGGTAAATAGAGAGCTGGCCATGAAAGCAAAACTGTGGATTCTGGATTCTGTGGATTATTTATTGGCACAAATTTTGGGTAATGACTAAAACAGTTAGATCACAGATATAGAGAGCAGAAAAGAGCTCCCAGAGCATATCAGAACTCAATCCTAGAACCTTTCTCCATCATAAGGAGACAGCAGAGGTGGTTCGGAGATCCGGTATTAATCTGGGATGAATCTGGGATTCAGTAAGACACTTCCTTGTCTTACTGACCAATTACTCACCTAAAAATGAACAGCAGGTATTGACAATACACTGAGTGAAAAATTGAGATTTACTGATATATATTTACTATTTTAATATTTCTCTTTCTCTCCATGAGTTGAAATATATTTTTAAACTATCTTTCATTGGTCTGCATTACCTGTTCATCATCTCAGCTCATGAAATAGATGGGATGTTTTTAATAGGTCAGGAAAAAAGGCTGTCTTGACCAATAAAGAGTTGATATTATCTCATTATAATACCCATTATTGGGTTCATAGGTTTTGTCAAGCCAGCTGATGCAAAGAAAACATGCATATTCTAATTTAAAAAATCATGTAGCTTATGCTCAGCATCATTCTGGATTTACCTCTAGCTCCACCGTGGGGTTATCGAGTGAGACTTCTCTTGACATATCTCATTAATGCTAATTAAATTCGCTACAAAAATTACCAATTGGTTATTATTTTTTATAGGAGCTTAAACCATCTCCTTAGGCCAAGAAACATTGGTTCACCCTGCTCTTCAGCACTTCGGGGTGTCATGACCTCTGAACTATAAAATACCCAACCTGCACATTTCCTCTGAAATGCAGAGTGTGAAATGTTTGAGGTATTTTTTTACATAAGATCCAAGAACAAGAATAAACATCAAATAAACAGCGTTCAAAAGTAGTCAAACGTAAAAACTGAATATCTGGAAAATTGCAATAGAACATGAAAGAGAGGTGGTGTTACAAAGCGCAGGAGGAGGTACTTTAAGTGTATGTTTGAATCTATTCTCTTAGCCAATCAGATACATTTTTGTCATCTGAATACATCTCACCGCCTTCACTCACTAAAATACCAGTAAGGTACCCAACAAGAAACACTGTCAAAATGCTTGTCCTATGGATTACATTATTTTGTCTTCACAAAGGATGTAAGTGCCTTTTAAAAAAAAATTGTCTAAAAATGTTCTCGGTTAAGAATTTATATGTCAAATACATTTGCACAAACTAAACTAGCTTTACAATGGAAAGTTACCACAGCAAAAAAAGTTAATTTTTTCTGTTTTCTCTTATTTCAGATTCTCTGGTTCCAGTTGAAACGGTTCAGCTTGGTGAACCAGCAACCTTGACATGTGCTATTCCCAAAGAGCTCAGCATTAGAGGAGTCAACTGGTACAAGCAGAGTGTTGGGGATACTCTTAAATTAATAGTTACTCTGATTCAGTCTAAAGCTGATTTTGGTCCTGGATTTTCGAGCTCAAGATTTCGGATAAATAGTGATGCAAATTTTAGCAGCCTGATCATTTTGGAGACAGTTCAAGAGGATGAGGGTCACTATCATTGTACAAACACAGAATGGATTGGAACTACATGGGGTGGGACATATTTGTTAGTAAAAGGTAATAAGCCAACCTACTTTTACAAACATTGAAAATTTTTCTGTGCATGTTTGGAAAAATGTGATTTGTATTACACAGGAAAAGCTCAGAGGACATCAAACTTTGCAGTCAGTCAGTTACTGATAGAATCAAATCCAGTCCGTCCAGGAGACACAATGACGCTCCAGTGTTCAGTCTTCTCTGACTCTGACAACAAGACATGTCCAGGAGGTCTCAATATTCTCTGGGTCAGAGAGGGATCAGATAAATCTCTTCCAAACATCATCTACACTGACAGAAATAAAAGTAATATATGTGAGAAAAGATCTGACCATCAGAAGACATGTGTTTATCACTTCTCTAAGAACGTCAGCTCCTCTGATGCTGGGACTTACTACTGTGCTGTGGCCACATGTGGGGAGATATTATTTGGAAGTGGAACTACACTGGTTATTCAAGGTAAGTTTATGATTTATAAATTAATTAGAAAAAATGTGAATTTCAGTTTTAAACAGCCAGTCAGAATTATTAGTAATTTTATGTGTTATTACGTGACATTACTGTCCAATTCTTTAGTTATACAACCAATAATATCAGCAATGATAATGTGTTTTTTTTTCAGAATTCATTTTCTTTGATCTTTTGCAGAGTCATCCACAAAATCAGCATTTATTCACCTGGGAGTATTAATTGTTTGTTTGGGCATTTCTGTCATTGGAAATGTTTTCCTCATGTGCAACCGAACAGCAGGTAAACAATTTAAAGGTAAGAAATGTAAGAATCTACAAATATTTGAAAGGCTAAGTGTATTTCAGTTATACTCCATATGGAAGAGAAATAGTAAAAACTTGCATAAGATGTGGCCTACTTCATATAAGGCTTATATGATTTACTCATGAAAGTGGCCACTTTCTCATT